ATGGTCACGAGCTGTGGGTAGTGACCGAAATAACGAGATCGCGAGTGCAAGCGGCCGAAATGAGTTTCCGCAGGGTGGCTGGGCTCTCCCTTAGAGATAGGGTGAGGAGCTCGGTCATTCGGGAGGGACTCAGAGTAGAGCCGCTGCTCCTCCGCATCGAGAGGAGCCAGATGAGGTGGCTCAGGCATCTGATTAGGATGCCTCCTGGACGCCTCCTTGGTGAGGTGTTCCGGGCATGTCTCTCGGCTGGCCTGGGAACGCCTCGGGATTCCCCCAGAGGAGCTAGATGACGTGGCCGGGGAGAGGGAAGTCTGGGTTTCCCTGCTGAGACTGCTGCCCCGCGACCCGACCTCGGATAAGCGGGAGATAATGGATGGATGGATGGATGGTAAGGCAGGGACACCTTCGGCTGCAGTGATAGTGCATTGCAGGCACAGGTTCTCACACACAGTTGCAGATAAAATCAATGTCAAACACCATTTCAACTAACTGCATGTTTTTTTTATCCAACCCAATGAGCCACCATGCTGCTCAAATAAAGGACTATTTTAAATCAAAGTGATCAATAGAAGCTACAAACCTTGTGTAATTAATGGTCCAATCAGAATAGTACAGATCCCAAAGAGGCCTCCTGACTGTGTATCCTAACTTCACAGCACTTGTACAAATGGGACGTGGGACTGTATATCCCTGCCGTGTCCCGGGAAGTGCCAAGTGTTTGGGAACGGCTACTACCAGACGTTTGACTCCAAGTGGTACCACTTCGACGGGCACTGTCAGTACACGCTGGTTCAGGTGGGTTTGGTGCTGGAGCGACAGCCATTGCTGTACGCATTTCTGCTGTTGCTATAGTGAAGGAAATAGAACAAGCCTGAAAAAACTTTAAACAAACTTAACATGTGATGTTTTCTTTTCTTTTTTTTCCAAGTAAAATCACAGTCCAGTACAATCTTCCCAATTACAGTATGACTATACTGTAGTAAAATGTACAGTAGTGCTATGTGACTCCGGCTGGAGAATAAGGAGAAAGGTTGGGTTTGCTGTTCTTGGTTTGAACATGGCTGCTGCACCATTTCCCCTGTTTACCAGGACAACTGTGAGACAAGCAACAGCACATTCTCCATCACCGTGGAGAGCGTTCCCTGCTGTGATGCCATGTATACATGTTCTCGCACTATCGTGGTCAACTTCAAGGTACCCTGAACAAGTCAGGTCAAAGTGGCTTTTTGCACCCCTATTTTGCATATTCTTGTATTTGCTGTAACATGAGGTTCCTCTCCCTTGGAACAGGGTGAAGTCCAACTGATGTTGCAGGACATGAATGTGACAGAGACAAGACGCAACCCTTTGTCTACTGACATTGTGCCCATGTACTCTGTCCACACTGTTGGCCTGTACATCATCATCTCTAGCCCAGACATTGGGATCGACATCATCTGGGACAAGAACACCAGAGTGACCGTCATACTGCATGAAAAATGGAAGGCCTGTAACTCAGTCTTTTGTTCCTATATATTTGTACACACAAACTGTGTTTTTGTTGCTAGGTTTTTAACTTTTACTATTGGGTATTTTCTAAGCACTAGTGTTTATCTCAATTGGAATAGCTGAGTAATATTCACTAGTATATGGTTTAAGCTGGTATCTCCACACAGCATTACTGAGCTGAGTGTACCTGTGAACCCAAAACTGTACAATTAGCACATGTTC